CATCAGACATGGAGTCACAGGCCGATGTCTGTCTGTCTGTAATGCTCATTGGCTGTTCTAGTCATTCCTAGCAGCAAGGAAGAGCATTCCTTAAATTTGTTTTTCAGATGACCTAGGAGTGTAGTTTGTGAAGAAATGTATTTGCCTTTAAACATGGAAATTGAAGCCAGGGGTATGGCTGGAGTGTTACAGAGGGATTTCATGGTGTCTGGAATGGAAAAGATCAGCCCTGAATTCAGACCCCAGCTAGCGTCTCTCCTCCTCCCCCCCAAAAGTATAACCTGGCCACATACTGGGGGCTAACACCTGTCATCCTGGCTACTCAGGAGGCTGAGATCTGAAGATGGTGGTTTGAAGCCAGCCTGGGCGGGAAAGTCGGTGAGACTCTTATTATCCCGTTAATGATCAGAAAGCCAGAAGTGGAGCTCAAGTGGTAGAATGCCAGCATTGAGCAACAAAGCGGAGGGCCAGCGCCCAGGCCCCGAGTTCAAATCCCAGCATGGGCACGAGAAAAAAAAAATAGAGCTTGAAGTGTGCGGACATTTATGCAGGTGACATTGCTCTCTCCCATGTCTGGCCTCCTCCTCCCCTTGGCCTTCCTCCTGGGGAGCCCTGCTCTCCAGAGGCTTCTGATCGCTTTTTTTTGGGGGGGGGGGCCTGTGCTCCCCATCCTAGCTCCTCTGGGTAGTGCTGATCCTAGGCTGCAGCTTCATCTTTCTGGACTTTGCTAGAGCACACTATGAAAGCCCAGGGCCGGAAGGCAGAGGTGCAGCGCCTGCCTGTGTCCCGATGCTCTCCACACACCTGCAGAGCCTGCGTAGACGCTCACCCCGGGGGGATGGGATGCGGGGACCAGCCAGCGACTGGAGACGGCCCGGAGTCACGTCTCAGAGCAGAGGATGTTTGCATTGGAGGCTGGCCACGGGGGAGGCTGGCTGCAGCCTCCCTACCTAAGACTCAGATCTGGCCCGGGGCTGAGAGAGGAGCGGAAGCCTGGTGGGGTGGGAGGGGGGCTGGGCGGGGCTCAGGGCCCGCAGGCCATTGTGTTCCCAGTGAGCAGGGTGTTCTACATTTTATGACCCTCTGAGGACCAGACGCCTCTTCCCCTCCCCGCCCTCCCCACCCCCCACCCTGCATTTCCCGAGGCCCTGCAGGGTTCCTAATCCCCCCTTGACTCTCAAACTTCACTTTCTTCCCCGGGAAGAGATTTCAAAGCATTCTCCTTCCGGGCCCGGGTGACAAGATGGTGTTTTCCACCTTGGTGTGAATGAGCCGAGCAAAGCCGCTTTCTTCCCCCACTCCCGGGATCCCACAAGGTGTTCAGGAGGTTGGAGGAGGGGTCCTTGTGCGGGCTGGGGAACCGGCATTACTGCCAGGGACTGCCAGACCCGACCCGGTGGCAGCCACACCCAGCCAGCCCAAGAGCCCTGCCGATCCCCGGAACTCTGGAAGGAAGCTAAAGGCCCGACCCAGAGAGCCTGACACAGACAGCCAGCAGGGAGAGACTGAGGCTGGCAGGCGGGGGCAGATCGCCCTCACCCCGAAATTCTCCCAGAGCACCTGGGGCCTCTTTTCCTCAGAGCCCAGGGGGAGAGAGACTGGCCTCTGTGGTGGCAGGAGTTAGCCAGGCCACTCTGCTGGGAGGGCAGCTTTTCCTCCTCCCTGCCACTCCTGCCCCACAAGAGAGGTTGGTAGGCATTGAACACTCATTCACACTATAGTAAGCCACGATGAGCTGAGCTGTAGTCTTGAGATGGGGTCTCGTATTCTGGGATCATGCTTGAGACTTTGTTCTCCTTTGCTGAGCAGGAGTGACAGCTGAGGAGCTGGTCTGAGGCATGATCGTGTGTGTGTGTGTGTGTCCAGAGCTGAGGATCGAACCCAGGGCTTCCTGTGTGCCAGGCCAGCATTCACTACAGGACTGCATCTCTAGAACTTTCTTTATAGCCATGAGGCAGACCAAGAAGTTAAAAGAAGACATTTAAATTGTAATTAAAAAAAAAGAAACACCCCTCAGGCTTTATTCCGTGGAATCTTTGGCTATACATCATAAGCCAGTTTAGACACCCCCCTATTACAAGGGGCCCCATTACTCGTGCACACTTCTGCCCCAGTGGCCTCTCATTGGGTCAGAGTGCGGCCACCAATTGTCATTAGACTTCGTGCCAACCCTCGAACAATTGCAAGAGGAAGTGCATTGGCTCAGGAAATAAGTGTTATTTTTTCCTTCTTAGGATGGGATCTGAGAGTCCCTTCCAGAATTTCCTTCAGCCCTTCCCACCCTCTCCCCTACCCTACCTCCTCCCCAGTCTCCAAGGGGGCAGCCAGGCCCCTCCTCTCCAGTCACCAGTGAATTTACAGGAAGAGTAGCTGGGGGCTGGGGGGGGGGGAAGTCCCTGCCTCTCTTCCCCCCCTTCTTTCCCACTCCCCTAGTAATCTAATCTATCTTCTGTCACTCAGCTTTACTGAAAATTATCTTCTAAGGGCATGAATGACTTTGACTTGCTTCTTCATTCCCCCCCCCCCCCCCCCCAGGATAATATTGACTCTGCTGTTCCTGTCTTCCTCAGATTCTCAGATGCGCTTCCGGTTAGCTTCCCCTTGCCCTGAGTTCAAGCCCCAGTACGAGCGCACAAACGCGCGTGCATGCGTGCATACACATACACACGCCACATCCGATTTTGGAATGTTTTTGTTCTTGGGTTTTTCAATGAGGGATATTCGATATTGATTAAAAAAAAAAATCTAGGGCTGGGAAGGTGGCTCAGTGGTAGAGCGCTTGCCTTGAGCTGAAGAGCTGAGGGACAGCGTCCAGGTCCAGAGTTCAAGCCCCAGGACGGACAAATAAAAAAAATCTACACACACACACACACACACACACACACACACACACACACACAGAAAATGTCAAATCGGAAACATTTCTGGCCCCCAATGTTGGTACTAAAGGCAAATCAACCTAAACCCAGCCAGCTTCCAACTCAGGAAGGTTCTATGAGCACCTTGACGGGCCTGGCTTCCAGGCCCTCCCCACGGGGGAGAAGGTGGGTGAGCTCCTGGGGGTGTGGGGACCCAGCACCCCCACCCACAGCAGCCGGGCCCCCAGGACACCCGGGGCACAGGACACGGGGGGGGGGGGGGGGGGGGGGGCTGGATGCCACGGCCCCCCACCCCCTTTCCTGTTTAAAGAGCAGAAGAAACATCCTATTGGGGTTCTTAAAATAGACCTTGCACGGGGACAATACAGCAGCTTTTTATAGGCCGCTTCAGGAAGTGTCGGTCTGTTCCTGGGGCTGGAGCCGCCTTGTTCCTGCCGGGTGGAGAAAGGCCGAGGAGCGCTCTTCTCCCTGCGGACGGGCTGTCGGCGCTTCAGTTGTTTTCTGTGTGTGTGTGCACATGCGTATGCGTGCATGCGTGTGTGCACACGTGTACGTGCACGCGTGCGTGCAATGCGTGTGTGCATGTGTGTGCAATGCGTCTGCGTGTGTGCACATGCGTGTAAGCACATGCATTGTGCATGTGTGTACATGCATGTGTGTGGGCAATGCGTGTGTGTGCATGCGCGTGTGCATGTGTGTACTGCATGCGTGTGTGTGCATGCGTGTGAGCACATGCGTGTGCACGCCCCACCTGGGCTTGAACTCAGCTCCTCCCGCTTTCAGCCCTTTGCTGGTCATCTGGGGGTGGCCTGGGCCGCGCCGGCCTGGCTGCCCTGACCCCCGATCGCGGCCTCCCGGGACCGAGGCCGCCGGCTCTCCGCCGTCAGTCCTGGCGCCCGAGCTCCGCGGGGCTCCCCCCGCTCCCCAGGGCGGGCCCGGTCCACGCGGGTGCTCTACTTCCGGGGGCGGGGCTGGGATGCTGGCGCCGCCCGCCCGCCGCCCCGGGACGGTCCGCCCCTCCCGGCCCCACCCCGGCGGCGGCCCGGCCTCCTCCCTCCCACGGCCGGTTTCCTCCTATTTTGCCATTCCGCGGCCCCGGGGGAGGGAGGGGCGAGGCCCGGGCGCGGGACCCCTCCTGCTCGGCGGCTCCCGCGGCGGCTTTCCCGCTTCGGGGCCGGTGATGGCGACGCGCCCCGCTGGGAGGACGGGAGGATGCCGGCCCGCCCCGCCTCTCCCCGCCCGCCCCGCCTCTCCCCGCCCGCCCCGCCTCACCCCGCCCGCCCCGCCTCTCCCCGCCCGCCCCGCCTCTCCCCCGCCCTCCTCGGCTTCTACCCCGAGGGCCACGCCCCTCCCACCCAGACCCCGCCCCCAGCGCAGTCCGGCCACGCCCCTCTCAATTCCCTTCCAAGGCCCCGCCCTCTCACCGGCCCCGCCCCTTAGCTTCCCCAGCCTTCGCCCGTATCTTTCCCAGCCCTGTTCCTCGCCCCGCCCCTCAGCTCCAGGCCCCGCCCCATCGTCCCTCTCACAAGCCCCGCCTCCGCCCTTCCGGCCCCGCCCCATGCCCTCTCCCCCCTCCCCCAGGGCCAGCCTACCCTCCAGGCCCCGCCCCGCCCAGGCCCCGCCCCGCCCAGGCCCCGCCCCGCCCAGGCCCCGCCCCGCCCAGGCCCCGCCCCGCCCAGGCCCCGCCCCGCCCAGGCCCCGCCCCGCCCCGGCCCCGCCCTCCCCGGACAGCTGCGTTCAATCAGCGCGGCTTCCAACTCGCGGCCGCGCGCCGGGAAACTTCGGCGTGGAGAGTCTCGGCGCCGGCCCCGCTCGCTCCGCTCCTTCCCTTCCGGCTCCTCCCGGGCCCCGGCCCCGCCGTTCCCTCCCGCGGACCCGGGAGCGCGGCCTCCCCCGCCCCGCCTCTCCCGGAGCCGCCGCGGGCGCGGGCTGCGGGCTGCCCTCCCCGGCGCATGGGGCCCGGCGCGGCCCCGTAGACGCGGGGCGGCGGCGCCGGCCCAGCCGCGACCTCGGCCGGGGGCCGCGCCCGCCCCGGAGCCCGCGCGGCGGGTCGCGATGCGCCCGCGGGGCCGGCGGCGGCGGCCGTAGATGAGCGGCGCCCGGGAGGCCGCGCGGGGCCGACATGAGCGACGGGGCGGCCCCGAGGCCCGGGGACGACGGCGCGGCCGGCCTGAGCGAGGTGAGTCCGCGCCGCCAGCCCGCGCCCCAGCCCGCGCCCCAGCCCGCGCCCCAGCCCGCGCCCCAGCCCAGCCCGCACCCCAGCCCAGCCCGCACCCCAGCCCAGCCCGCACCCCAGCCAGTGCTCCAGCCCACCCCGTGCCCCAGCCCAGCCCGTGCCCCAGCCCAGCCCGCGCCCCAGCCCAGCCCGCACCCCAGCCGCACCCCAGCCCGCACCCCAGCCCAGCCCGTGCCCCAGCCCGCACCCCAGCCCGTGCCCCAGCCCGCACCCCAGCCCGCGCCCCAGCCCGCACCCCAGCCCGTGCCCCAGCCCGCACCCCAGCCCAGCCCGCACCCCAGCCCAGCCCGCGCCCCAGCCCGCACCCCAGCCCGTGCCCCAGCCCGCACCCCAGCCCAGCCCGCACCCCAGCCCAGCCCGCGCCCCAGCCCGCACCCCAGCCCGTGCCCCAGCCCGCACCCCAGCCCGCGCCCCAGCCCGCGCCCCAGCCCAGCCCGTGCCCCAGCCGCACCCCAGCCCGCACCTCGACCCGAACCCCACTCCGCACCCTACCCCATACTCCACCCCGCACCCCAACCCGCACCCCAGCCCGCACCCCAACCCGCACCCCCGCCCTCCCCACCCCGCACCCCACCCCCGCCCCACCCCACCGGCTCCGCTGGCCAGCCGGAGCTCGGGCTCCAGGTCCGCCGGGACCGGGCGACCGGGCCCCCCGCGGCGGGGCGCGGGCGGGAGCCCAGCAAAGCGGCTCCGAACCAACTCCATTTCCTGCCGGTCCCGCTCCTGCTGGGACGGGGTTACCGGCGGGGAAACTGAGGTAACGGCAGGCAGCGCCGATGCCGTGAGTGGAGGAGATCCGCCCCATCACTGAGCCGGGTGGGGTCCGAGCCTGGGCTCCGCGGGGGGGGGGGGGGTGCGGGGAGCCTCTGACCCTGAGGTCGTGTGAGGGCAGGCCCTGGCTCGGTCCCCCCAGCCGGCCGGGTCGCCTCCCCGCTCCCCTCTGGCAGGCAGGCAGGGTCCACGGTCTGGGGGCGCCCCCCGAGGAACTCCCCCAGGGCCGTGTGCCAGGGCAGGCTGCGGGGCACCCGTCACCCCCAGCGTCCCCAGAGCCGAGGCTCCTGCCTGCCGCAGAGGCCCGTCCTGAGGACACCAGCAAGCTTCTGTCCCAACAGTGTCCCAGGCCGAATCTGTGTGCGCCTGTGCATGTCCCTGCTGCTCGGGGGCTCGAACTCGGGGCTTCTGTGTCCTCTCAGCTTCTCTTAGCTCAAGGCTAAGGCTCTGCCACCTGAGCCACAGCGCCACGTCCTGCTCTGGGTAGTGGAGATGAGAGTCTCATAGACTTTCCTGGCCCCCCCTGGCTTCAAACCGGTCATCCCAGCCTCCTGAGTAGCTAGGATGACACGTGAGAGCCACCCGCACCCAGCCCTGGTCCTCCGCATCCACTTTCATTCTGTTCCTTTTGGGACCAGACACTTGTGGTTTCCCTGATTTCCTTAGGTGACCCTGGGTCTCCCAGTGTGGATTTCCCCCAGGGCTGAATACTTAGAGCACTCATACGGATGCTCTGTGTTTTTTGCTTTGTGTTCTTTTTCTTTCCTGTCTGGACATACTTTAAACCAAGGTATGTGTAAAGAGAACTTGTAAGGCGAAGGGAGGGATGGGGAGGGGTTGCTCGTACTGTGGTCCGTGAATCTCAGCTCTGTTGATCCCAGGCAATTGCTTTAACAGTGTCCTTTTCTGTATCTGTAGATCAATGTCCACAGATCTAAATGTGATTCACGTATATTTTTGGCATTATGTCATTGGGATAGTATGTATAGGGATGTGTGTGCGCGCACGCACGCCCATATACCCATGCATGTGTGTGTACCCATGCATGTGCACACCCATGTACTCATGCACGTGTGTGCCTGACTGGGGCTTGAAGGCAAAGCCTCGCTCTCTGGCTTGGCTTTTTGTCTTAATGATGATGCCCTACCACTGGAATCTCGGCAGACTCCCCTGCTGGGGCTGGCTTTCAAGCACGATTCTCCCAGTTCTCGGCCTCAGCATTACAGATGTGAGCCGTGTTACAGATGTGAGCCGGCAGTGCTGGCTCAGGGTCCTTTTCTTTCAGACGCTGCTTCTCCTTCACTGTGAGGTGTGGGGCAAGGTTCCCGCCTTCCCTTTCTGTTTTCCCTCTCTCTGGTGGCCAACTCCTCCTCCTCACCTGGAAGCCAAGCTCATAAACCTCTTCAGTGCCTGAGCCTGAGGCGGCCTGGGGTCACATGGGGGTGTGTGTTGTCAATTGCCTGGTGTCCACCAGGCATCTTGGAGGTGGCCAGTGTGGAGGGTCATAAAGAGGAGCCCTCGAACGGCTTGGGATCTTCCCCCTGCTACTGGAGTCCTTCAGGGGCAGGGACTGGGGACAGTTGTGTCCACGGGGATGCTACAGCATCTTCTCCAGGTGACAGTGACTCCACTCAGTTTCTGCCACCGTGGGTCACCAGTGGACGTAAAGCTCTCGTGTAGGATGCCGGAGAGCGGGGGTGGGGAATGGGGGGTGGCGGACAGAGACTGGGAGACACGAGCTGGGGGTGGGCGCGACGCTTTCACCGGGAGAACTCTGGTGTAGAGGTAGGAGGTTCACCAGGCTCTTCTGCTTCGTCTTTTAATGAGAATCAGCCATCTCACGAGAGCCTCTGGGTCAGGCCCAGGGGAGTAGAGCCCGCCCCTACTCAGATGAATATTCAAACACACTTTTATTTGTTCCCCCAAGTGCTTATTATATCTAATCGGCATTCTGACAGAAGCCACAGAAAACGCTGAAGGAAAAAATTTGAGAAGCCTAGATTGGCTGTTTGTTCTTTTTTCTTAGCTATTAGCTACCCCTATCAAACAGTGCAGGGAAACCATTATTCTCATTCCCATGATGATGATGATGATTGCTAATGTGAGGTCGATGGAGGATTATCAGATCAGCCAAAATTACAGGCTCTCCCTGCAGCCTCCTCCCTCTCTCGACAGCGGGAATGGTCACACTTGCAGTCACCTTAAATTCAGTGCCCCCCCCCCGACCTTGTCAAGAGAACACTCTGGAACCCATCTGCCTGGCAGGGGTTTGGGTCAGCAGCGCACTCTTCCTCTAGACAAAGCCGTGGGCCAGGTTTTCACTCCCCTCCCGGCCTTACTCACACCTCCTTGGCTCCTCAACCAATTCAGACCTGGAAGGCAGATGGGCTGTCAGGGTCAGGGTGAACCCGGGGCTCAGCCCCGCACCCCCGAGGACTAGCTGTCCCCGTGATGATCTGGTCCCGTAGACAGTCACGGACCTCCACAGGAAAATAAGAATATTGTTCCCTTTCCTGTAGTCACCAAAACCTCTGGACAAGAATAAACGGCTCTCTCCATGAAGGTGGCCGAAGCCACCAGCGCCTATTCTTTGCCTTGGAAGCGATATTTAAATGGAACAGGCAGAAAGACGGCGTCATTCTTCACTTTGAAACCTTGCCTTTCTCTTTCTCACTTAATACGAAACCTCCTCGGCCAGATCTTCCCGCTGTTGAGGAGTGGCCTGGCTCTTCTGGGCTTGTGCTGTTTACCTAGGATCCCAGCTCCTCACTGATACTGAGGAGACCTGTGCAGAGGTACTTTGTCCTCAGAATTCATTGTCTCGACAGACCGTATCTTGGTAGCCACACCACTAAGTCTGACGTAGTCGATTTGCAGTTCCTTACAAATCAAGTCAGGACCTGCCGGATGACCCAGGGTCCAAGATCCTTAGAGAACCCCGCTGTCTGCCCTGAAGAGCCCAGAGCTGGTATGCGGCTGGCGCATCGTGAGTGCCCTGCTTCACAGATGTGAGCAGATAAACTGAGCTGAGGGACAGCGCCCAGGACTGCCCCCCACCCCCACCCCGGAAAAAAGAAAGATGGTTAAACAGTCTGGACTTTCCTCTTCCAGCTGAGCTCCAAGCCTTAAGTTGTCTTCACAGTGATGACGTAGACACCCCATCCCATCCCATTATTATTATTATTACCTTTAAGTGGTTGTACAAGGAAGTTCCATTCTACAAAACAGCGGATGAGTACAAGGTGTCTGACGACATTGTCGCCCATCGCTCCCAGCGCCCCCCTCCTCTCACTTTCTGTTTTAATTGGGATTAGTCATATTTCACAGTCTTTGGAATAGTGATACTCTGTAGAAGTCGCAAACACATTTTAACCGGCACCGGCACATTCAGGTGGACTCTGTGGTTACTGTCGATCCACCCCTGGGGCTACAGATTCACTCACGCTTGTGTGGACCCCGACGTTTCGCTGCTGCCATTTCTAGGTCCTCATTCGCCGCTGGCTGTGGCAGGCTCAGGCTCCCTCAGGCTCGCGTGAGGTGGTTGTGAAGTCTTATAAGGGATTCCTGTAGGGCACGGTGCAGGCAGGCCGGGAGTCCTGGGTTCTAGACAGCGTGGGAGGCGCTGGCTCTGTCCCCGCCCGAGCAGCCCTTCCCTCCCTGGTCTGTCTTTGCTTGCGGTCCCCTCTCTCCGGTGGGAGGGTGTGCTCTGTGGGTGAGCCCGCCGAACTTGATCTGCGTCGAAGTGCTCTGGCGGATGCTCTATTTTTTTCTTTTTGTCGGTCGTGGGGCTTGAACTCTGGGCCTGGGTGCTGTCCCTCAGCTCTTCAGCTCAAGGCGAGCGCTCTACCACTTGAGCCACAGCGCCACTTCTGGTTTTCTGGTGGTTTATTGGAGATCAGAGTTTCACAGCTTTTCCTACCCGGGCTGGCTCTGAACCGCAATCCTCTGATCTCAGCCTCCTGAGTAGTTAGGATGGCAGGCGTGAGCCACCACGCCCAGCTTGGATGTTCTTGATTAAAAAAAAAAAAAAATCCGAATGGATTGGAATGAAGGGACTCAGGCAGTCCCGAGACAAAGCAGATGGCTTCCTCCTGTGGCCCAGACGTCTAGTTGCCCCAGGGAGGTGGCCTTTGTCCCCACCCTTGTGTCCCCTCTCCCCCACTGTGCACACC